CACGCGCGTAAGACAAGCTCGACGTTCACAAGATGAGCCTCAACCTCTAGCTCTATCAAAATACGTTCGGACACCGCTTAAGGGTATCAAAAAGCGTCCAAATTGGAGATCGCTTTGGTACGGAGTGAGAACCTCAAACATTTGGGCATCTCTCGGACTTGAAGCTCAGAAATGCTAACCTTTTTTAGTTAGCAATGCTATACAGCGGAGCATTCTCAGAGCTGGGTTGCAAGATGTTGTACAATTAGTAAATATTCCTACTAACAACATCAAGCAGCTATTAGTTCGGAACAGGCTCTACGACAAGCAATGCATAACGAAAGACTGCAGCATATGTCCTTACGGAAAAACGGGTGATTGCGCACTGACAGGCGTGATTTACCAAATAGAATGCCGGACATGTGGGTCAACATACATCGGAGAAACGGGAAGACAACTAGCTATACGGATAAAAGAGCACCTAGCTAGTATGAGGCGTGGCAGCCTGACGACGGCGCTTGTTAGGCATAAAATGGAGGGGCACAACGTCAACAACTTTGAAGTAAAGTGCACGATATTAGCGCAGGAGACGGAGATTTCAGCGAGGAAAGCATTAGAGGCGTTCTGGATCTTTCAAAGAAATCCTAAAATGAACGGTAGAGATGAGTGCCCATCNAAAGAGCACCTAGCTAGTATGAGGCGTGGCAGCCTGATGACGGCGCTTGGTAGGCATAAAATGGAGGAGCACAACGGCAACAACTTTGAAGTAAAGTGCACGATATTAGCGCAGGAGACGGAGATTTCAGCGAGGAAAGCATTAGAGGCGTTCTGGATCTTTCAAAGAAATCCTAAAATGAACGGTAGAGATGAGTGCCCATCTATAACCAGCGATCTTTTGCCGTATATACCGCACTGCGGCTTATGACTCAGTAGCATTACGACATGATCTTCCTTATCACAAGTATAAGGGAGACAACACAAGAAGTCTCATTCGCTACTGACAGTCGCCTGTGGCGACAGCGGATTTACATCCGCTTGAGCGGTGGAACCCTGGTGAGTTAAGATTCGAATTGTGGGTTTGAATTTGTTGTCTCATTCGCCAAAGGGGAGATACGCTTTTTGGATACCGTGCAAATCATCTCGAATTGCTTTAGGCCTCTGAAGAAGACGATAGCGTCGAAGCGTTAGGCCATTGAATTAATAAACCGTTCCACCTAACAACCTCGCACGGCACAAGAGTATTTAAATAATAGCTAACCTTTTTGTTTATTACCAATTAGTGAAACAGGACGACCAAGAAATGGGCAAGCACACCGGGTTCAACAACTGTTTCTAACGCCATACGTGTGAGAAAATCATTACCCTCCCAATCAGCAGTGGAGACAGCCTCTTACAATTATGCTTACTTTTGCTCGCTACCTGAAGATCCAAAAAGTGAACTTTCTTCATTTCTGGTCTCTTCAGACATTTGGTAACATGCATTTCCCATTAATTCACATAATAGAATTCTGATTTACATATCAGACGAAGATTTGGCCCCGGATCTGTAGTAACCCTGCTGAGTTTATAGGCCGTTCTACTTCTTCAAGGAGGAAAGCACGAAGTTCAAAGGACAAAGTGTGGGTCGAAGATATTTCTTGGCTTCTTCCATATCCATTTCTTGTAATCGGATCTCGTTCATAATATCTGCATATGGTGTAAATGTTATGATTAAATGCCTGTTATAATGAGGCCCTCAATGGAAGTCGTATTTGAGGAGCAAGAAAATCATTGTCAACGTTATGAGGTATACCTCTCCTATAGTGAGTGCTGCTATATTTCAGAGAAAATGCTCCTGCGCGAAGCCGTTTCATTATACATAAGGAAGCCAAAGATGCTATCATCGTGGTATGTTTGTATGTGTTTTCGAGTTGAAGGCACGTTCTCGATAGTTTTGGGGTGTCCAGCTCAAGAGGAACAATGGAGATAATAACCCGAATTAGTTCAAAAGTGGCGACGGAAACACTCTGCGCATTTGGAGAAATATAAGAGCTGAAATATAAGGGCTGGAAAAAAACAGAGGCTGGACGAGGTTGTGACCAAAAAAGTTGCATGGAAGGGGTATTTGGACGAACCGACAAAAATATGTGTGCCACTGCTTATAGCCGACTAAGTGAGCTTCCTGCTTGGAACGTGTAGGTCCCGGTGCGGATCATGCAAACTCTAAAGCTTCTAGAACGCCGTGCAAACTCTTCGTCCGCCTTTTATTGTCTGCATCGGTCATGACGGTTCTGGTGCCTCTATTACGCCCTATCTAGGTCGTTCTTCGACCTGAACGTCCTTATTAGTGCTATCCTTGAGAGTCAGGTTCATCCTGCGGAAATTTCAGAAGCCATTTTTATGGTGAACTACTCCTTTGATCACGATTTTTGACTTGATTCTCAGATAGAAATTGGCAGATGCGCAAAGATCATACTAGCACTTCTTCGATTTACCTCTGTTGTGGTTCCAAGTGAGAGCACAGATTATTTCCTACGCAAGCTTCTTTTACAGGAATGCCACAAATCAGTGATCGATCACAGAAATGATGCCGAGAAGACTGATGCTAACTCAAAATCTCAACCTTGAATAGTTACGACCAATAAGTGCAATGTTTAACAAAAGAGAAATAAAAAGGTCTAACCTATTCGTGATGAATCGAATTGGTCTCTCATTTATATCCGCATTCATGCCAATATAAAGCAGCGTTGTGACGCCTATCGCCCAACTATGCGTCACAACATTTATTCGAACAAGTTCTAGCCAAGAACGCCTATTCGAGATTCCTCCACCTTCCATGAACCCCACACGGGGCGTTAGGCACTTTCAGGAGACTGCTACAAAAACGGTGCGAGTGAATTCTCTTTCCATCACTTACCTTCTTCATTTGCTCATTGTGAAGCACACGATAGTAAAAGTAGAAAAAAACAATAAACGGAAATAATGCGATAAATACGCGTAGGACATCTGAACTTGTCCATCCCAGAACACACTATAAGATACAAGGAACACCACCATAGTTGAACGCAGGATCGCATGGTGCCATGTCATTTGGAGTCTTTTAATGACCGTACACAGGTATTGCGTTCCACGGCCAAGTATGTGCTAATAACAAAAAGCAAAAAAGTGCTCAGGAACCAAGGAGAAACTAGGAAAGGATGGGCAACGAACATGGCAAACACCACGAGACAGTGAAGGATCCTTCCATGAGGGTAGGGATTGGTGGGGAGTGGAAGAATCGGAAGTTTGTGTAGTACAATGCAAAGTACCTTAATGACGGACTATCGTAAACTGCGCCGATGCCTTGGATACTCTCCCTCACCTCAGATTTTTGCCGATCAGTAGATCGGCCCCTTGGCTCCCTGTCATGCCTTTACCTCGTGACTTGCTGCCTAATGCGAGCTCACCCAACAGAATACAAGTAGAAGTGGGTTGTTATGTGACGCTGACGAAAATTTGGAAATTTAGAGAACACAAAAACGGAATTGAGAATTGCTACGAAGTGCAGCAATAGAAGAATTTACTCTAAATTATAGAACCGGCAGAGCAAACATTGTGCCGTAACATCTCAACTATCGTAGCTGATTAGAACCTAGTGGGTCATCGGTAACTATCACTCCTATGGAGTACTCGAAGCTGAATTGATCACCTTGCTTCAGTGGTATCGAGATTACAGCGATTCGAATGAATATTTCGGTCACATGGACTGGTAATGGAGGATAATCCATGATAACAATACGTATACAATTCTGCTTTATGAAGTGGTCATGTGTATCTACGCATTGATGTAGGTTGTTTCCAACCAGTTGGGTCTTGCAGCCAACGCGATCCCGACGCCTATGAGTGAAGTTTCGATCTGTCGCTCTTCATGTGAAGATAATCACCATAAGAGTTTCGACTACTACAAAACCAAAACCGTGAGTGGTACTCACAAGTGCTGTCGGATGATAAACGAGACGCCATAAACGAATAATGTTATCAATGAGTCTTGCCGTCTCTGTGAAAGTACCATTAGTTAGAGTTCCCAGATTGTTGGCGGCCGGATAAGTTTTGTTGCAAATGATATTGAAGCAATGAGAAAACGTGACCCTTCGTTGAATCACAAACCTTGCTGGTTCGCGGCCGTAATCTAGTAGCAGGAAATGGACCGAATTCTCATCTTTTCTGGTGTATCTTTGTGATGCCTACAATCGGTCTCTATCTCTGTCTGCACCTACCCGCACTAAGAGCGAAAGCTACATCATTAATAAAGAATGCGCCAGGTTCTTGACGGTAGACAGCTCCTGCTCTCTGAGGTTCCATGCCAGTTCTTATAATTTGTTATCTGTTCCTATCACCCACGACCGCTTTCATCAAAGATAACGCTCCCTGTTCAGAACTAAGTGGAAAAAATGGAACATTCAGAGGAGTTTAACATTGGTCGCTGAACTTTCTAAAATATGGTAATCTGCCTACTGACTTCCTAAATGAAAGAAATACTGCAGTTCGAAAAGCAATGATTACGTAGTTAATCAGGTAGAGTGAGAGAATAGATTTCACCTGCTCCGGAGTTTGCTGATGAGATTCGATCTCACAGGGAACCATAGAGACCATCTACGAACAGTCGAGATCGACGCAATAATTTAGGTGACTTTTTGAACCTATTTTTTAACAAAAAGTTTCAATATAGCTCAAAGATCGGAGGCTTCACTTTTTTCATGCCAAACCTTTGGCTCTTGTTCTACCCCGACCCAAAAAGAAGAACATTCAGTTTTGTAACTTCTTGAGAGAAGATGTAAATGCGCTTTTCACAAATCAGCCTTTCCAGAACTGATTTTAAAGAATCTATTATACTTGTTTTTTTAGAATTTCAGCCCGAGTTTATATGACTTCTTTCATAAGCTCCTGAGCGTCCCAGATTTTTTGAGCTGTCATATCCAGAATGTTGTATTTCCTAATATAATCATGAGAAATCTTTTAGTCATCCATTTTCAGAAGTGGTCGACGACATTTTTCGAATATAAATGAATTACTCTCAATTTATCGGACTATATGAGACGTTCGAAAGACATGAGCGATTCCTCGTTCTTCAGCGAGCTACAATGCTGGTCTATGGCATAACCACGACTATCGTAGTGTCATTCACTTTGTTTGTAATGAATAAGAGTGCTGCCAATTTATTACAACTTGTTCGAGTACTTATGTACTGCAATGTGCTGTTTCCTGCTTTGCTAACCAGTGTCATCTGTTTTCTATTTGTACCGTATTTTCTGCTACCGTATCCAGTAGCTCTAAATCTTGGACCAATTCGATTTGGTCCTGTATCCACTTTACTTCATTGCCTTTTCATGTTAGGTTTTGGAAGTTCTGCCTGTCTCAGTATTGCATATTCAATAGTCCTTAACTATATAACTGTATGTCATGATTCATTCCTGAAAACTACAGCATTCACTGTTACCAAATGGCTGTCACTTATTCTCCCAACAGTTTTCCTTATCGCTCTTGGAATTCTCCTGTCATATTCAATGTTGAATGATACAACTTCAACACTCTCTATGGTGGCAGCTGACTCAAGAAATTACTTTTTTGTGGAGAAATTCGCTGCACTGGTGCTTCACCTGGACATATTCGGTCTTGACACCCTTCTCTACGGATCGGTCGTTCTGTACATTGGAGTGGTAGCAGCTGCTTTTACAATGCTGTACAGGTAAATTAAGTGAGGATTTTTAATACCACTGGCTACCCGCCATGTCACTTTGTGTCACCAGGCCTTCCGAACCAGTTAACAACAATACTAGACTCAACAATTTTGCGCAAAATTCGAATTTACGGCGTATACTGAGGAGCTTGATTGAAAACGACAACATCTTGACATTTGTTTGTGTAGGGTCATTCAACGAATCCGAGCAAAGAAGAATGAATTTTCAAAAACAACGTATCGTCTTCATTTGAACGTGGCTGTTGCTCTCGTGGCCTATTGGACTATACAATATCTACAGCTCCTATTACCGGTTATTTTGCTTGTCATTACAGCACTGTTCAATTTAACGTGGATGAATACTATGTAAGAGCAACATTTTTGTGTATGATTAGCAATAGAAGATTTTTGAAATAACCAGTGAGAGTATAGTATAGCAAAGAAAATTTCAGGAGGCATTATGTACACCTCGAAGAATGCTTAGTTTTCTTCTCAGTAAAGATCGAATCTTTACAGTTTTCCCTTATAATTCGACGACTTCCAACCTTCAGAGAATAAGGATGAATTTCGTCTTGAAAACTGCGTATCTAAACGAATCGGTTCTTCAGAAATAACTTTCCTGCTTTGAATTCCATGTAACCTTTTCCAGGCCTTATATGGAAACTTTGTTATTCTTGCCTATTTCTTTATTCAGTATATCTACATGCATTATGTATATAACAGTAATTCGACCCTTCCGTATGACTGCCTTACGACTGATAAACCGTATCTATGAAACGATTCCACCTCTGAAGTGAGTTTGCAAGGGAATACATAAGATTCTTGACCCCATGACTCCATATTCATGAATTTGTCAGAATACAAGTTCTTTCACTTTTAATTTTTGGCATGATATGTTTTTCTTGCTCTTGCGGTAGCCATGGGAAGCAAAAATATTCGAATAGAGAGTTGGAAAAAGAAGATCCAATGAAAAAGAGTATACCAAACACCTAGCAACAGAGGTGCTCGGCGGAAGGGATGAAGAATTAAGGAATTGAATTGTGAAGGGGAGAGACTGGCTCCACTACAATGCATGAACCCTTTATATAATATAAGCTGTTTAATTGATTCCATTCGTGACATCAAGTTTACTAGATTACACTGCCTCCAACAGCGCAATGGTCACCGGCATAACAGGTGGTTGCTACAAATATTGGAAAACTTCTCTTAGCCCGGGCTACTGTATCATTAGGAATAAAGGTTACTGTATCACTAGACCTTGAAATATGAATTGCATGTCGTACATAATTGTCGCGGTTATTCATGGAAATTCACCTGCCACGCCAGTGATGAGGTAAACTATTCAGTTTCAGATCTGTTTCTCGTATAGCAGCTGCTCAAAAGACCACTATGAGGTAGTTTTTCTATACATCTAAATCAAATCGATAGCAATCAATGCAATCGACCAATTTCCCTTCCTTGAAATTTATAATCAGATTAACAAAAAATAGTCACGTTTTCAGATTGAGTATAAGCAAAAATACGTTTTCACAGTCGTCTGCCACCAAATAAAATGGACTCTTCCCATTTCTTCGATATCTACGATGTCTACCAGAAAAACCTGCGTTATTTTCGGGTCCAACAGAACACACTATCAGTTTAGGGTATCGTTACGGATGTAGTAATAGCATTTGTTTTATATGTAATGATGACAAGTTCTATTGAATTATTGGAAGCTTTTCGTGTTCATATGTACTGTGACGTTATATTTCCTGCCCTCTTATGCAATGTCGTCTGTTTCCGTTCGTAGCTTACATTCTCCTTCCGTATCCTGTAATTCCAAACCTTGGCCCAATAAGATTCAGCCAAGAAGTTACCTTACTTTATGGCGGCATGATTTGTTGGCTAGGGGCTCTCAGTTGTCTTAGTATTGCTTATGCTGTATCTCTTAATTATATATCTGTATGCCATTTTCGGTTTTTGAGATCCACCTACTACGTAAACCTGAAATGGTCCGCCTTTGTTGTTCCAGAAGTAGTCATAATAGGGTTCAGTAACGTATTATCGTATCTAATTCTGACTGATACGGATTCCATACCGTCAATACTGCCTGGAGACTCAAGAAATGCCGTCTTTTTGCCGCTTTGGTGGTTTATCTACGGTCGTTTGGCGTTGACTTCTGCCTAATTTTGTTGCTACTCATCTACTGCTTTGCAGCAGTCATTGGTAATGCGATGATCATCAGGTGAGTAACACTGTTCATCTGCTTACTTGATTTTTGATAGCTTCATACCTAAATAGACGCGACAAGCACTCCATTTCCATTCAGAATGGTAGGGCTTTTTGGATAAAAATTTGGCCTACACCCTAGCGTGCAACACTGACCAATTATTTACATGATTTTTGATAGTTGCGAACCGTTCCTGGTGTACCATATCTACGATGACTTCGTCTATCGGTTCTGCTCGCCCTGCTCGAGCGATATCACCCTCCGCCATCACAGGACTGAACGATACGGAGCTTGGATCAAATCTTTCTACTGTCCTGTTTAGGATTCGTAGAGAGAAAAACCTTATCAACTGCTTTTATCTAATTCTACCTGTTGCAATTCTACTACAGTATATGATCAATCTCCAGGGTTGTCTTATGTATTCGGAAGAGACGGCACGAATTCTCGGCAAAAACATATCGTCTTCAGATCAACGTGGTTATTGCTCTCGTTATGTACTGCGTCATATTATTCGTTCAACTCGGCTTGCCCGTCATGTTTAGTTATTACAGTCATTTTAGACTTGTCGTGGATGAGTGAGACGTAAGTAAGTCTGTTCATAGAGCGATGATCGCCTCCCGTATCATCGGCGAACTCCCCGTTTTTGTACCCAGACTTTGCTCACTGATCAAAATCCCTGGTATGCATCGACTTCTAGATTTAAAGTTTTCGAAAGAAGTAGCGCAACCCCACGAGATGCGTTGCCTCCTTTGCCTGGGCGAATTTCCATTCCATAGTCGATCCATGGCACATAGCACTGGTCTACATCCACTATCTGATAACAGATTTTCAAGATCAAGAAATGATATTTATGTATAAACACAAAATGCCCAGTAGCTCTGCCTATTTAAGTTTTTTGTTTGCAAAAATTTGTTGCGATCTGTCCCCTAGCATCTCTGTAATGTCCTCAAATCATTTCAGGCCTCATTTGCAGACCATGATGTTCTTTCCGACTTCATTATTCGCTATGTTAACAAGTATTATGTATTTGATGGTCATTCGCCCATTTCGTATCAGCTATACGGCTCATGAAACGTGCTATCAGAGCTGCAGCTTTGACAAAATTCATGAGAACCCGACAACGAAGGAGTCTCACGAACTCATCAAACTTCACCCTATTCAGCACCAGCAGTGGAAGAGAACCAAGGTCACGTTCGAGTATACATCATGAACTGGCCCTTGTTGCTTAATAACTTTACGATAATAAATCTTTGTTACATCATTTCTTGGCGTTGGATGCTTTGTGAGTAAAATATAAACGTAACTTTGGCTTGTTGACTGGTCAGTCGGCTTGGGTTTCTTCTTTTTCTCCTTCATTACCAATTGGTCAAAGTTAAAGAGCTGCTTTTAACGAAGCTATAAACAAAAAGAAACTTTCCTTTGAAGTGAAAAACGAGATATCTCTAGAAGGCAGGAGTGTGTAGTGAGGGAATTCACTAGTTCTCAAAGAACAAGGAGAAGAATTAAGACGAAACACCCTTCAAACACTTGGAACAGCACCTTTCTACCGATGTTGTTACAGCTTACATGGACACAACGTGAAATCCCTACCTATTTACCTGTATGGGGGCGGAGCTGTCAGCACGTAGAGGCAGCATGAGCAGGTGTTAACATTAGATATCCACTTAACAGAGAAGTACCGGCTCCGAAACCTATAACACGAGCTCGACGGCGGCAACAATGAATTCAAAAGTGCCAAGTTTTATTTTTTGAAGTCATGAAAAGGTGCCAATTGGCAGCATAGGGATGAGTCAACGGCTATGTGGAGGTGAAGAAATTAACAACTCTTAGTTAGTTCAGAAGATCGAAACATAAAAAGAATCATGGAACGCACGGAACATGAAACGAGACTGTCATGCACATCGGTAAACAAAGTAAACTCATCTGAAAGTGATCATGCGGAACAACCTCTCTACAAGAACCTAGATAGCTTGGCTCATCAGATATCCTTAAATATATTAGGTTGATGCATAATTATTGCGGATTTTTTCGCGGCTTTTTTTCTCTCGATAGAATTTGAATATTAAGTTCGGGATTTTTCTAGAAATGATCTACTTGATTTCCTGTACAAGAATATACTCGAAAAAGCATCCGCATGTTCGCGAAATTAGGCTTAACTAATTCGAAATAGATTGGAAGGTGGCGCAGTCAATCCGCGATCTCGGCAACTTTTCGGCGATCGAACAATGAGCCAGAACCAACCAAGAAATGGGATCCGCCTCTAAATCTGCCATATTCACCAGCAGAAACTTTTATGGATTATCTCGTCAACCGTTCATCGAAAAAATGGCTTGAGAATAGAAGTTACGTCGATTTGGATGACTTGATGGCCGATGTCAAGGCGTGGATCGCCCGTAAGGATCAAAACCTCT